CCTGGAAAAATAGAACTGTTACTGTTTTATTTGGAGGACAAACAATTAGGTTTGGTTCTTTTCCGGCTAATTTTGTCTATTTTGGACAAACCTTTTAGTCTTGAATCTAGTCTTCATAAGTGATGTAGTACAAGATGATACTATCTTTCAGAAAATAGCAGTGAGATATTTTTTATATACTAGAATTGACTTGAAAATGTCTTTGTCTTTTAGCTGGTTATACCTTTAGCTGTAGCAAAACATTGATTCCAGCTGTTCTAAACAACCCTGAGACTATGCAGATAGCCTTCATAAGAGGCATAGTAGGTCAAGTTTTCTTCTAGGTGGGAATCTATGAAAATGATTGGACAAAGGAAAGCTCTGCCTTCAAAATGATGGGTGCCCTGACAGGCTTTTGTAACTACTATTTTCATAACAGGAGATCCACATGGAACGCTGTGTGAACCTGACTGACGTCGCTGTGGAAGCGGTCCTTACTTGTTGTCCGAAGATACACATTTTTCTGTTCCATGGATGCCCTTTGATAACAGGTAGGTCAAATCATGCAGCAAGCAAGAAGAGTAATTACTTCTGATAGTATCTTCTTGGTGTTTGGAAACACACACTACACTTTGTAAATAATCCCAAAAAATAATAGCTCAATAAATTAATAGTCATACTGTGAGATTTTTCAAAGCAAGGTGAGAGTTTTGCTTTGATATATGGAAACCATCAAAGAGGGAATTTTTGTTGTTGTTCTTGAATTTGGATTTTTTTAATTCCCTTCCCCCCTAGCCCAACGTACTGATGAAGACCTAAAGTTGATGATAAGACTTCAGAAACATGTGTTAGCATCTTAAACCCCTCCTCTATTCCAAAAGTATGCCACAGTATCCATTCTAGAAGCAGTGGAACGGAGAAGGACTGGTCAGCCTAAAACAAATTTAAGAGAGGTTATGATATATCTTGAGCTTTTAAAGTTTGTTTGATTGGTGATGCATTGCGGTTATGTGACTGGAGAAAAAATTGAGTAGTTTTGAGTTACTACAGGTGTATCTGAAGTGCGATATTGTAATAGCAAATTACAATAATAAACATAAATGCAGATATGGAATTATTTTGCTGTTAACCTAATTTCTAAACACCACTTACGTATATTCGGAATGAATAACAAGAAATTCCTTGGTTCTGTTCCAGATTGTTCCCGAGAAGTTTTAGAACAGCTGGTCATATCAAACAAAATCAAACAAGTAACATGGACTGTTTACTGATTGTTTATCATGTACGTATGAGTGTAAAGTTTACAGCTGGGAGAGCTCTTTCAGGAAACAAGCACCTTGGAGAAATAGCACCTTGGTGACTTTTGGACCATCAGATTGCTTCCCTCCTTGTTCCCACTAGAGGTCTCCATCGCCATTCCAGTCCTTGCCTGTGAGTCTGGGCTTCCCCGTTGTCTCTACTTAGAGCCCTGTATGTCTTTGCATTGCTAATCATACTTCGGTAAGAGGAAAGTTAAACTATAATTAATATTACACTGTCATCGCTCAGCCTCCTTCAAGAATGAGATTTGGCTACTACTCTGTATCTTTTACCATCGTAGTTACATATACAAACCAAATTTAAGTAAGTCTGTGTTCTGAGTTTGTAGTCTGAGAGGGTAGTTGCAACTAAAAGTACCAACCCAAACTATGCTGGAGTGTCTGTAAGGTTGGGACTGTAATCTGACAAAAGTCAGCAAATCGAACTGGTGACTGGAGGTGGCATTAACAGCAGTGCAAATGTATTTTTAGTAAGAAACAGTCTCCTTTCACCATGTACTTTTGCTGGGTCTGGAAAAAAACTGTAGGTACCTTTTTTTTGATGTTACTGATGCTGCAGGTTTCTGTTCTTATTTTCTAACGCTGGATTTTTATACATCAAAAACTACAGTCTGTGAACATGTAAACGTAAACTTTGAAATTGTTGTGGTGACTTAATTACAAAGTAGTAGCTATGAATGATTAAAAAAAAATCTTATATATGGGCAAATACTTATTTGCTCTGACTTTTGCCTAAGTTGATGAAAATCCTTCTAGGGAACAAAATACTGGTCCTCATAAGCATTGCTATGAGTGAAATAGGACCAAGTTGAATGAGTACATGAATCTCAGGATGCTAGAGTTCAGCAGAGTATGTGTTCTGCTGTGTGTGGTTTCTTTCTAGTGGCCCCAGAAGCTGAAAATAACCACTTGTATATTGTTTAATTGTGGTCATAATAAAGAAAAAATCTTAGAAATGTAAAATGTGTTTATTACATGCTGACAATTAGAAGTCATGTTCATTGGCTTTCTTGAAACAGCATAACCTCTAGTGGCACTTTTGGGATTTTTTTACATTAAACGTTAAAAAATGTTAGCAATTTTAGCATTATACAGGGCAGGTGACACACTATGTTGATACTCTGCATCTGGAAGTAGCAGGGTTTAGCTAGGGTGATCTTACATGGATCTGATGACACTTAGGAAGCCGTGAGTTTAGGCAGCCATAAGGAATATGTTTACATTATGATTTAACACTTGTCATAGCCACAGTTATTTAAAGTGCTGCAGAAATAAACCAGTCTTCTACTAATCTATTTAAAATTCAGGTCAAATTGCATGGAAGATAATAATATATGTTGCATCCAGTAATATTAAAGGATATTACGATGTCTGACAATAATCTCTGTTCTTCTGTTGATTATATGGTTTACGGAAGAGCAAGTTCGTGTGGAAAACTTGTTCAAGTGTAACTGAAAGCATAATTTTCAAACTCCAGTGCCTAAATGCCTGGCTTCTGCTGCATGCAGTGCCATGTCTCAGCCCAGTGATGAGTACATTCCTATGATACCTATAAGCATAGTGGCATTAGTACAAACCATTCCTGCAAACAGGAGAAGTTGGTTTTGCTATATTAGCAACTCGCATCTGAAGGCTGTAATTGCAGTGACTCCTTGGACCAGATTGAGGCCTAAGAATGTAATCTACCACATCTTATTCCCTTTCTTGGCTAAAGAGTAGCTTATAGGATTGTCCTGTGGAATCCCTGTTATCAGTCAGGGCCCGTCATTTCTTTGAAGTCCTGGACATGAGTTGGCAATAAATTTGTTTTGTACTGTTTTTCATATTGATCCATCTAGCTGATTAGGCAGCAGCAATGACACTCCCAGTAGTTGTGACAAATAAGTAAAGCATAAGGACCATGCTGCCAGCCCTGGCTTCAAGAAAGCAACCGCAAAAAAAGTAAAATTGTGAGCTAACTCAGGTGGGATGGGGCCTCGGAAGTTTTCTAGTCTAACTTCCTGCCCAAAGCAGGGCCAGCTCAGAACTCAAACCTGCTTCGTTAGCGCTTTATCCAGCTGAGTCTTGAAAAACTGAAGATGACAGAGCCTTCACAAACTTTTGAGGCAATTTGCTCCATGGCTTGACTATATTAATGGTGGGAAGATTTTCCCTTCTATCCTGTTTTGACCCTCTTTTGCTTCACTTTACAACCCTTCTCACTGGAAGAGCCTAGCTGTCATCCTGCCAACCTCCTTAATAGGTATGGGCAGGCTGCTTGTAGATCCCTTGAAGCCTTTTCTTTTCCAAGCTGAAGAAGCCTAGTTCCCTCAGACTGTTATTGTAAGACGTGTAACTACAACATAGTGTGGTGACTATCACCAGACTCTCATCTCAAGTGCTACATCCAGAAAGAAGATTCTAAATGGAGATGGCATAAAGCAACTAAAGGCGTAAGAGCACCAAAATCTTTAACAGCAAAGGACACTTACAAAACAAATTCTATCTGTGGGACAGTGCTACTACTAACCTCACTGCCTGAGTGGTTCTTTTTGCCCTTGTTAATGTAAGTTTGGATTTGTCAGGTTGAAGGCAAATGCAGCTTATACTGTGTCCTTAAATGTGCATGTAGATTTACCATCTTCTCCTGTCGCCTCTACTAAATGTGTAACTTAGTGGTAGATTCTCATCTGTGCTTAAAAATCTGTACAACACTGCAGTGAATTACCAGTGTATTTTTAGGTTTGAAAGTTTAACATAAGTCATGTTAAATCCTTCAGTGTCAAAGCATGAGTCTGTATGCTTATGTGTTTATTACTAGCATAACTACTAAAATATTTATTGATTCAAGTTAAATCACAGTCATTTTCAAAAAATGCTTACAAGCGTAGGGTGAAGTGGGAGAAGAACATCTGGTCTGCACTGATGACTTCATATTCCATATTGTTTGGATATTGTTACTGTTGTAGGTTGTTGGGTTAGCAGTGCAGAATACTTACTGTACTGAAGATTAAAGTTTGCAAACCTCCTGTTTGGATAGTTATGAAAACTTTTAAAGTTATATTTTGTAACCATGTACATTGTAAATGTGTTCCTAAACCTCCTACTTCATAAACACCATAGTTTTCTGAGGGAGCACCACCTGCTTTTTCATTTTTATAAGCTTCTACCATATCACCTGGTATTTGGATAGGTGTAGGTGCACTGTGTTCAACTCTGCAGTTACTAGTTCCTCATCACTGCTTGTCCAGTAATTAACTGCTGAAGGTGACAGTTCCTGCAGAACTTCCTGAAACATTGGTTCTTCTTCAAATGACTGCAGTCACAACCTCTGGCCAGTGTTTTAACCCTGCAGAGGGTTCTTCCTTGACAGATGGACCTGAGAATGATTCTTGGGCTTCTTGTTCAGTATCTCCTCCAGAGAAGAGAAAAATAATTCCACCTGACTTTTTAGTTCCTGTTTTTATGTAATTACTTTGTTAAAAAATGTCACAGAAGGAAAGATTTCTTTACCCTCACCAGTCTCCCATGGTGAGAGATTGCCTTTTTTTACCCCTGCAAAGTTAGAGAACGTAGATCATTTGACCTACTCTAAAGGATAAAGTTACCCTATAGCCATTATTATTTAATCACTTCCCACTTAGTAAAAACTTCAACTCTAGCTACAGTTCAAGAAGTGTAATTTAGATTTGTGTGCAACTCCTGAATAATCACTCCAGCAGCTTAAATGAAGAGAAAACGTTTTATTATAGAGGGGAGGGGGCGAAACAGTCAATAAGTTACTCTGACATTCAGAAGAGATACCTCAAAAAAGAGCAAGGCACTTTGAGCACAGTATGAGCTAATACTTTAGTGGAGAATTTTATGAAGGACAGCAATAATTTTCATTTTAATTAAGCTGCAGCAGTCTTTGAAAGCAGTGCAGTAGTACTTCAGCCACCACCTTTTCCCCCACAGCAATATGCTGGACGTCCAATGCATTTCACAATAGTGTCAAATAGCAAAACATGAATATATATGGAAAACATCAAGCATGCAAACTCTTTCATGTTACTTGTCTTTGGATTTATACTTCAGAGCAGGCCCCTTTGAATACAGTTTGCATGTAGTTTTTACCTCAGATGGAGCAAAAGCCTCAGTGAGTACGACCAAAATCAGTACAGAGAAGGTACAGTAATCTACCTTGCATCAACACTTGTGTTTCATGTTTAATTCCCATTTTCAATCTACACACAAAAATAAAAAAGCCAACCACGTGAGACAGAATTCATTAGAAAGCCAGCTTCAGCAGCTTTCCAAGCTATCTGAGGGCTGATAGCTCCAAACGATACTTGATGTTAATCCATTGTTCTCTTGTCTAGTATACTCGGGAAGTGAATATTCTATGACTTTGTGCAACTGACTGTGAATACGGTGGCTTAAAAACTGATGCCTGCCAGGGTCACCAATCAGCACTTCAGTTTGCTGTATCCTGATGCATTTCCTCAGCCAGTGATGTAGACCATCAGCAAGCTGTTCATCGTAAAACATATCTCCTAGAACAATGAGGTCCCAATTGCCAGCCTCTGAGTTAATGATGTTCTTAATGGTGATGGGGAAGGGATTCAAGTGGTTCAGTTCACAGTTCAAGATCATTGCTATTCCTGCAACTAAAGAAAAGACAAAATGAAAGTTATGTTTTTGCATTCTGCCACTCATGCCCCATACACATTTCTTTGACATAGCTTTCAATTTCATCTCTTTAATATTTTTGTTTATCCTATCTAGGAACTTAGACATAAGTGACAGAATTCTAACGTCACTGCAGCATGACATAGGAAAGAATATTCCTGGAATGGATACCAATGGAAACCAATCACAGAATTGAACCAGAATATGCCAACTGCTGAATCCAGGACATTAAGGCAGGACTCTTTATGTATATACTTCCTCCCTAACCAGTGTGTAACTAAATCATGAATAAACTGAATTCATAAGTCAATAATGGGAAAACTAAATGGGGGGTGAAGGGGAAAGACAAAATCTAGGCCCTAAAACATGGAAGGGCAAGAAATTGGTATGGTCCTACAGAGAAGCCAACTTGTCACCTGTGCTTAGAGTTCTCCTCCAACCCAGCTGTGATGGTGATGGTGTACAGGCAACACTCAATAGGAACTTTCTTGTTTGTTCATTCTACAGAGCTAGGGAGATATACCCAGTACAAGAGAGGTGGGTATAACCCAGTTTCCCATACTGGCAAAATCCATTCATCTTTTTAGTATTCTTAGAACTCTCTTTGGAACATGAATTTCTCCCCAACAGAGCAGGGAAACATTTGTGTTAAATGTGCTTTAAAAATTATTAAATATCTTTACACAGAGATGAAAAGAAAAAAGGCCTTACTAGGGTCAATGTCATTAGCAAGGACTTGCGATGCACCACTCATCACAGCAGCTATTGCTGTTGCTCCACATCCACTTCCAAGATCCAAAACCGACCGTCCTTTAACAACACGTGGATTATCTAAAATATACCTGAAAAGAAAAAACAACATTCAAGCAATGAACGGAATTATGCAGATTTCTGTTTTATGTTACACTGCAGAGTTCTTGTCACACATGTAATGAAGCATGGTATCTTAAGAACATGACTCCACATGTGCAGCTGGTACATGGCTCCTTCTTTGCTGATACTGATATAAAATCAAGACCCATCATCTTTCTCCCCTATTTGTCCTCCACCCCCCCCCCAAAAAAAACCAAACAAACAAAAAACCCCAACCAAAAACCAACAGACACAATAAAAAAAAATAAAAATTGATCCAAGTAAGCAACATTTTATTTCAATCAGCTCCTTCTCTGACAGGTGAGCTTATCTAATACACGGACACAAACTGCAAGGTGACTAAAATGCTTGGCACCAGACTCCGGAAAGGAAGGATCTGTAGAAATTAAAAGCAATCTGACTGAAGAAGCATGAGGATATATTCGCAGCTGAATATTGTACCCATCAAAAGACAAGGCCTACCCATTGCCCTAAAATACTGCTTATGCAACTGCTTGGAAGAACAAGGTCTCCTCTTACTTTTCCCAAGCCAGGCAGACACAGATGCAAATACTTGTAGTCTGCTTAATGTTGCTCCTGAGTTAGGAGTAAGCAAATGAGATTAAAGCAGCAGTGAGTAGAAAGGTTATCTTCACCCAGTTGCTGACACCTGCCAAGAGGAATCCACAAGCAAAATCCTCTGGGCTGGAAATGGAGAACTGACAGAAAGCAAGCAGCAGTTACTGCTGAACACTACAGATCATCTAGCCATTACCACAGGCTCACAACTTGAACAATTGCCTTGAAATTCAATCTTCTGCAAAGGGGAAGGCCTTAAGTGAAGGGGGCAAGAGCCCCAGGTGAGGAGTTACTGCAAATTGCCATAAATTCACTACCAATTGCCGTAACTTCTTTTAAAGTAGAAACAGAAAGGATTCTACGTCTGTGTTGAGTTCCAAGACGGAGGATTATAGCTGACTCTTTGTACAGGGCTACGGGTAAGCACAGGTTTTGCTGTGGGTTGCAATGCAGAGAGCTGTAATGGAAATGTTAAGATTGGTGTAAATGGCGAACGGATGGATGGAAAGGCCAGGACCTAGAAGCACCAGCAGGAATGGCAGAATGAGGCCTAGTAAGATTGTCAAGTGTTAACGGCACCTAATGGCTAGAGCCCAACACATCTGGATGCAGATTCCTAGGAGCCCAGCTTGGGAGAATGGAAGACAACCCACCCTCATACTAAACAGTTCAAGCCATTAAGAGACAACAGCAGAAAGGTCAAGACCAAGACTGAAGATACAGAACACCCAGATCAGAATAAATCAGGAGACATGAGGATGGCCTGACATCCTATGCCTCTTATCCTATGTGTCATCACAAGAAATCCTACCAGTTTACATATGCAGAGTTTGGTGCTTTTGAGTATGTAGTTACAAATCTAGTAAGTGAAACTGTCTCCATTTTAATGAAAATTACCTTCTCCCATGGCATCCACACAGTGCATTATGCTGCCGTTGGGAACTGCTATCTGCCATGCGGGGTTAACAAGGTGCCTTGGGTTTCACCAAGAGGAATAGCTTGAAATGGGAGAGTCCTGATGCTATGGAAATGCCGGCCATGAAACCAGCATGGTTATGGAAGCAGCATGTATTCAGGCTCCCTTTTTCTTTTTACTTTTCCAGATTATGCAGCTAATTTCTGACATCCCCAGTACATCAAACAAGTGCTTAAACACAATGAAATGTCAGATAATTATTATTACTACCCAAATGTCTAAGCATATGGATCATACAATGAGAAAATGTAGATATTACCTTACCTAATTTAATCATGCAATATTTAGGAACACTCAAGTTCATCTACATGGCAGGCTAATCAAGTCACAACTTACTTGTAAGACTCCTCTTTCTCCTGGTCAAAAAATACGTTGCTGCTTATGCTTTCTGACAGAAAAAACAGTAAAGCCCCAATTCAGATCCTTCTCTTTCATCTATTTGGGGGATGTCTGACAGCTTCTTTGCTGTAGCAATTATAAGGTTTTGCTGCTGTTCAAAGTGAGACAGCTAAATTTACAGAATAAAAGAACTCTAACTAGTTCCTGGAAATCAGGAACATTAAAGACATTTTGACAGTAAGTAGCCAAAACAGAAGTGTGGCTTCAGATGTGACTAAGAGACAGCTACAATAAGGCTACTGAAATCCTACATGAGGAGGGTGATACAGGCTAACCAACACTCCAAGTGCATCAGCATAAACCTACTTTTCTCAACAGACCATACCATAAAAAAAAAAAAATAAAATAACCAAACCCACATGTTACGACAAAACAGCAATCCTCCTGTTCAGAGTGACAATGAGTGATAAAATTAAACAGCTCACTAGGTTTTGATTGCACAGCCCTCCACAGACCCAAATTCAGTCCTGTTGTCAACACATGCATCGCCACTGGAGAGAACAGATTTCAACCCAAGAGCTCTAAATTATTCTATATACAGCAAGTGCTGAACCTTCACTGCCAACCAGCAAAGGTTGAGCCTCTCCTCTATAAGCAGAGGAGTACGGATAATGCACTCTCATGCAGGGCAAATACACATCACTAGGAATCACTACAAACACAGCTAGGTTTGACATCCTGGCCCACAGCAAACTGGACTTAGAACTTCAGTGATTCATGCTGGTTACCTGGAGAGGGCTTGGCCTCCTGGCCAGTAAATTGCCCAGAACGGGTCCCCATAAGGCCACAGGTCAGGTTTTTCCTTCCAGAACCTGCAGCGAGGTGTGAGGAGGCGCAGACGTATTTCTGGTGTGAGGTGCCCACTGCTGGTGACCTCGGTGTTCTCCTCCAAAAACGCTCTAACCTCGGGGTCCAGAGACTTGCCGGCACTCCAATGGCTGCAGCGCTTCCAGCACAGAGAAGGGCCTCCTCGCCTCCTGCTCCTCCAAGCCTTGGCAAAGGTGTCCTGCCTGCCCAAGACGAGGAGCCACTTCCAGCTGCGGAAGGTCATGTCTCCCCACAATTGCTAAGAGCACAGCTTATCTGAAGCAGATGATGGGGCAGAAAGCTTGAAAAAAACTCACAGGATGTTGTTTTTCATAGCAAGATGACAATTCCTAAAAGGAGAACAATGTCAGTGATGTTTCTTCAGTAACTTCAAGGCTGTGCACCACCAGGGTTTTAGGAAGGAGGTGCATGTGCTGTGGCATGACCATGATTGCATGCCTTGCCCCTTCTCAAAGAGCCTTTGGAGTCTTAAAGAAGGGCATTTAAGGAAGAAGGTAACAAGACAGCCTTTCAGGAGTGTGCTGTGAACATATCCAGTGAGAAACAACCAGTTAGCAGGATAGCAGACAGAGCTAAAAATTAAACTTGCAGCCTTTTAAAATTTCCCTGCACACAGCAACCTACCCCATTTAAGGTTCTTATACTGAATCTTAAGATTCTGCAGTAGGGCTCTGGCATTGCAGGACCTATGGACATAGCAAAGGTTATCAGTAGGTTGCTTGAGAGACACTGTTAATTACAAGTATTATAAGGACGACAAGACTTTCAGATGAAAGCATCTTTCCAAAGGCAAGCAATTAAAGGATTTCCTCAACAGATTTTCCTCTTTCTCTCTCAGATTTGGCAGGCTGCCAGCTCCAAAATGAAAAGTGAAAATAAATACATAAAAAAAACATCCCAAGAACTGATCTTAATCAGAATGTTTCTGACTTGTTGCGTTTCAGTCTGTATTTTAAAGGCTCCATTAGTCTTATGGAGCAATAGTCACACGTGGATGTTCTCAGCTGTAGAAGAAAGGAGAACGTCAATCACTGTAGCCCACTCACTGTGGGGAACTATAGAAACATGCTCCAAGCTGTCTAAAGAGAGAGAAGCTGAATCCAACATGTTTTTAAAAATGGAGTTTTTAGAAGGTGAGACAGTCAGACTGCATGAGCTCTCACTCAAAGGCCTCCTGACACCACTCCAGGCCAGTTTTCAGGTCACAAGCAGTGAAGGAGAATGGAGGATTGGTATGTCAGAGTTTAGACTACTCTAAGAATCAGGAGAATGGAGTGTGAAGAGCCGAAGCTCTTGGCTGAGTGGCAGATAAAGAAGAGCCTCTCAGCACTTTATTACCCACCACCCCCCTGATTCTTTCTTACACTGATCCTGCGATTGTTCCTCCCAAGGGGAGGCCTGAAGAGAGAGCAGCTGGTTTTCTGCCTTCCTGCTCACGTCTCCTTCCTCATCCATCCTTCAGCATTTACGTATCTTTTTCCTTCCTCATCTTGCTCTCTAATTTCTTTTCAGTCACTCAGACGTACTTGCTCCAAGGCACAGTTTTCAAACCTTTCCCTAAACCGATGACCAGAGAAATATTTGAGGCCTGTACTTCCACAGCAGCAAGACCGTAGGTACAGAGACACAAGAGAAACAGCACTTGGTGGTTTGTGATTATTTTCTCTCTCTTCTGCAATGGTTTTCATGAAAAAGCAGAATCATGCATCAAGAAAATCAACTTCAGCCTGCCCCTGCCTGTTTTGTACAGCAGAAGAACTGTGGCCAGCTTCACCATCTAGAGCTATGAAGGTTGTCCTCAAGAATAATGAGTTAAAGGGACAACAGGAAAAACATGCTAATAAAACAAAGTCTTAACACTTCATGTTTCACTGCTTCAGTTTTTCTTTGTCTGTAGTAAGAGTTAATATGTGTTTATTGACATTTTTGCTGTGCACTGGCCTCTGTTTCAGGTACTGGGTTTAGTTTGATTGATTATTGGAATGTTAAGCCATGAACATCCCTCCTGTTACACTTTGCTATTTAGGCTGATAGTCCAGTTAAGTCTTTGCTTAAGTCATTGGGTAAAAGCTTTATATTTTTATTACAAATAAATACATGTGACTGAACACTTTGAGGTTTTCCACATCGGAGAATGCCATTGCACAGTCCATGTAACTATCGAACATAATTGATTACTGCCTTCCTTCTTGAAGGCAGGGCTATATAATCCTCAGTTGCTTGAGGGAAGCATGAAGTTAACTGAAATCGTAGATATAAATCTTACCAGCTAATGCTGTGTACTGGTTTTTCCCCTCATGAATTACTACAAAGTAGCAGGGCTCAGATTCAGTAGCACATTATATCGCCTGTCACAATGGTTACTCTTTCCAAATAAGTTTACATAATCACAGGATGGTTTGGGTTGGAAGGGTCTTCTAGTTCTAAACCATTTGCCATAGCTTCTCTGGGCAACCTGTGCCAGTGCCTCACCACCCTCACAGTGAAGAATTTCTTCCCAATGTCTAATCTAAATCTACTCTTTTCAGTAGGGGTAGAAAAGTACCTGCTAAGAGCTGCCCTCAAAATGCCAAGCTGGGTTTAAGTATTCAGTGTAGGAAGGTGTCAGAACAGATATTCTTTCATTTGGCAGTCGTGGCCTTCCCATCTTATTGGGAATAAAATGAGTGGGTGAGTAGAACACTGACAAAACTCACCAAAAACAACCAAAAACAAGAAAAAAAAAACCAAACAACAAAAAAACAACAAACCACACAATTAATTAAACACAACAGGCCCCCAAAACACCACCACAAAAACATAACCAAACCAACCAACCAAAATCCTGTACAATTTAAGCTTTGAGCCTTTCCCCTTTTCTCCCCCCCGGGCGGCAGAGCAGGGCAGCAGGTGCCTTTCACACCATAACCACCCCGGCCCACGCTTCCCATCGGAGGCACCCAGACCTAACCGAGGCCAAAGGCCGCCCGCTGCACCGAGGGAGGCCAACACCGCGCCATCACCCAGCGCCGCGGCACCGGGCGGTCACGGCTTCCAGTCAGACGTCCCCAGCTTGTCACCCTGCCGGGCACCCCCCTGCCAAGCTGCCGCCAGCCCTGCAAGCGCAAGGAGAAGACTGGCACCGAGGCCACGGCCTGCGCCGCCCCAGCCCGCGCAGGCCCGGCCGCACCGCGACAGCCGCCGCTGGCCCGGCCGCGCCACTCCCCGCCGGGGCGGGACCGCGACACGGGCCGCGGAGAGCCCGGCCCACACCTACCTGCTGCCGACCGCCGCCGCTCCGCTCCGCTCCGCTCCGCCCGCTGCGCGGGGCCGGGCCGAGAAGGGCCAAGCTCCCGCCCGCCCTTAAAGCGGCAGCACTGCGAAGCGGGCGGTACCGGCCACGGCAGCTTCGCCCTGCAGCGTGTGCTGGTGGTTGAGGTCGTCTGTTTCCATCCAGCACCGCTTCGGCCTTGCCCTTCTCTAAATGTAAGCCAGTGATGGGCATCATGTGCTTGTTCTGTTCGTGCTTCAGTTAAAGTGCTTTTAAAAAGGCTTGTGTCGATGTGAATTAGGCCTGTACTTTAAAATGTTAATAAAAATACATGTGGGAAAAGGAGTAACAACACATACTCAAATTTGACAGCAGTAAAAATGGTATTTCATGTATTTTTCTTCCTTTACACATCATACCCAGGCCAATGCCTCATCCGGCATAGCCCAACCAATCTTCCCAATCTCTTTGAAACAGCAACATCTTTTGAAGGTGTCAGCCACCAAAAGATGGTCCCATCACTGCTCCAGTTAGTCAGTTCCTCAGGCAAGCTGGACATCTCTTTTCCTTTCCCTCTACATGTTTCTCTTCCCCATGCTCCATCCATCCTATTAATATTTCTGCTGCTCCAAATATCCCTTCGCTTCTCCACAAACCCTCTCCAGTGCAGACAGGAGGGAAGGGTCCTCCCTCACAGCACTATTGTTGTTACTTGGAAGGACACAGCCCTGCTGTAAGTGACTGCCTGGCAAGCCTACAAGCAGTGGCAGTTCCTCTGAGGCCACGAAGTGCATCTTCACAAGGTGGTGACTGCGACCCACTGGTGGCTGGACAAGGAACAAAAAACCCCTCCTGTGTCCCCCCTGTCCTCCACAGAGGGATACCGCCAGACAGATCTGTGGGATCTCCCCCCTAGACGGGTCCAGGGAGGCCATACAAGCACCTTCTTACAAGGGGACAAACGTGGTTTTCTCTAGCTTCCTATGGGACAGTGTCCCAGATTTCACATGCTGCGTTCTTAAAAGGTTCTCGTACCTCGCCCCAGGTGACGATTCTAGGTTCTGCAGCGCTTAGGGTGACAGTGTTTAAAGAATTACACCTGGCCATTGCGCAGCCTAAACGTGGATGTACCCAAATCTCTGAGGTGATGAGGCCATCTAGTGATCTCCCGGCTTATTACAAGTCAAGCGTACTCGGTAATGTAACAGGAAAGGTAAGGTAACAGCTTTAAGCACACTGACAGGTGATGATACACCTCCGCCTTGCACATTTTATTTTATACCTGAGAAGGTTCTCAGAGAAATCTGAAAGGGAAGCTTTTGCACTTGGGTCTTCAGCCTCTCTGACTGGGTATTTAACAGGTAACTTCTCAGGTCTGTTTTCTCTGCGCTCCTAATATATGGTATTACTTGGTAGCTATATACACCTCAGTGAAGTCCCGGCTGTCTAACACGGACCAACATCATGCTCAGGCAGTTAGGAAAAAAACACCATCCATTGGCTGCTCCCATCTTAGGGATTGCTGAAGTTAAAAAGGAGGGGTGAAGCCCCTGCTTCCCAGTTACATTGGCTGCAGTGTTAAAACCAGAAACCCACTCTTCCTTATTTAACTACCAATATTTAGTTACTATTGTATAGATTCCTAGCATGACATAAGAAAGCTCTGATACCACTGGTAGCTGCCACCCCTCTTGTAAAAGCTTAAGTGAACCACTTAGACTTTCAGGACATGCTTTGTGCTGATCAGTTCTGCAAAGTATCAAAGTCCTTGTGAGGAAAAACCCTTTTAATTTCCAAAGGCTTTTTGCTTTAGGTGGGGACAACTTGAGAATTTCTGCTGCTCAAATGCATAGTGTATTGTGCAGACAACAGCCATCACTGCTGGAATTTGCTCTGAGGACATCTTTGATCACAACATGACATTGATTTAGTGTATCATGGAGGAGTGCAAGACGTGCAAGATGCAGATGCAGGGTAGCACACAGGGGGCTCCTGCGTTTCCAAGGGAATTAGCTGATTACTGGCTGATGGTAGGACTGCCCAATGCTTTGGGGAAATCTTGTATGAGCCAATTAACCACAAAGAAACAAAACTGCTCAAGGACAGAGAGAAGAGGAAAGCAGAGTGGAGCTACCTCCACATTAGCAATTAGCAACACATGAATCTTTATAGATAGAAAAGGAGGAAAACAGGCCTGCAGTTTAGCAACCAGGTGATCATCCCAGTTCACCCTCTCTTCCAGCTGGTACAGCTGAAGCTCCAGCCTCTATTTCCAGACCTCCTTTGTTGCAAGGCCAGCTGCCACAGTTTGCTTAGCAGAAATTCACAGAACAGGGAGAGGGATGGATTCAGAGGTTTGTAAAAAGCATCCCAACAACTCAATATCCACAGTCAGGGTTTTTGCACATCAGGATCAATTTGTGGTTGCCCAGAGGCTGCGGAAGCAAGTCATAAAAATGTAGCTGGTGCGTTAGCTAAGGTAAAATTGAAGATGAAAGCTCTGGCTAGGTGAGGGAGAGGCAATTCAATTATTCTGTTGTGCCTTCAGCTAGAATCCACACCGACTCATTTCAGAATCACAGTACATCTTTTTCAGTTAAGGAATAGATATCCTAACATAACAAAAATCACACATTACCTGTAATGTGTGCTGAAAGCATTAAATATGTTTTTCATAGGATTATCTTTCCCTCACCAGCTGTATTAGGTTAGGAGGAGGAAGAAGAGGTGGCTGACAGAGATGAAGACATCAGGTACCTTCCAGCAATGAATGTAAGAAGGGGAAGCTGGAAGCTGCAGATTTTTTTCGGGGGGGGGGGGGGGAGTTGAGGTGATGGAATGTGGAGAAGCTGTGACCCTTGTGCTACAACACATGCAGTCCTTCTGATATGAGGTATCTTTGTGAGAGCCTCAATGGTAAAGACCAAGAAGTTAGAAGCTATTGTATTTCAATATGTTCTTGATTCTGTTTTTTGTCCACATGTGCAATGATAGCACGCATGGCCTTAGCTGGTTCCTTGTGTACAATCCGACATGAGAGCCTTTTTATAACACAGATGAAGATGGAAAAGATACACAAAGTCAGATGTTTTGTGCTTTTCTTTGGTATACAGTTTGGATGCTTGGTTTGGTGTTAAAACTAGAGCGTGCGTGTCGTCAAGATCCCTTTCTCCATAGTTGAAGTCTCCTTGAACTAGCAGGACTTTGGCTCCAATATATCTGTTACAGTAATGACACTTGGGTTCCTAAGTTTCAGGTCCACTGATATCTCAC